CAGTGGCACCTGTGGTCCCTGATCTCACTCTCACCGGTGTCATATAGAAACCCCCAAACAGCAGTAACAGAGCAGGGCCATCTGCCTCTCCTCGCCTCCACTGCTTGATGGAGTTCAGAGCCTGAATTCTATACCATGCACTGCCACTAGCTAACTTGCTGTGCTGCCTGGAGCAGCTCACTGAAGTCTTTGTGCCTCAATTTCTCATGTTGAACCAGGGTAAAACACTCTGGTTGGTGTGATTTCAGTGCTAAGCAGAAACTAATGTTTGTACCTTTTCTCTCACATATGTACACTGGCACTTCTGTCTGCACACCTGCTTGGGGCAATCAGGTTAGAGATGAAGATCATCAAAGGTTCCAGTGGCACACCCAAGCTCAGCTACACAGGACGTGACGACCGACACTTTGTTCCCACTGGCCTCTATATTGTCAGGACAGTGAATGGTAGGTGAGGAATGATTTTCCTCCCCCATCCCTTCCCACTTCTGCCCCAGCCAGGGCAATTGCTCAGACCTGCCCGAGCCACACTGAAGGTTCCCACTAAAGCAGGTAGCAGCCAGGCTGACAGCTCACTAAAGTATATGTTGGGGTGACTGTGTTTCCTGAGCCTCTTCTCTTCCTTAGTGGGCTCTGGGGGTTGTATTGGGATGGGGAGAGGGAGCCCAACTTGTCCATGTGCATGGAATGATGGGAAGCACCTTCTTGGCGGCCAGCAACAGATCGAGAAAGTCAAACTTGGCCTTTTTGTCGATTTGCATCCTTAGTAGAGTCTCCCTTATTCAGTGCCCTCTGGCTACCTTCCAGGGGCCCAGGGATATTGCCCTGATGGCACATTGGGAGGACTGGGGCTGGGCTGTTGAGAAGCAGTTGTTTTCCCTGAGCCCCTTTAGACCGGTGGTGAAGACTGCATCTTCACAGCTATTCTCTGCCTGCTTTTGGGGGAGCGGGCAGTGGGGGGCAGGTAGCCCCTACAGTTGCAGAGCTGTCTCCCATGGGTACTTTGTGCCTTTCTGGGCTCCTTTCCCTCTTCCTCCTTGCAGAGCCATGGACTATGGCATTCAGCAAAAGCTTTAAGAGGAAGTTCTTCTACAACAAGAGAACCAAGACGTCTACCTATGATCTACCTGCAGATTCCATTGCCCCATTTCAGTAAGTAGCCCTCCTGTAAGCCTGCCCCCTCTGCAGCCCCAGATAATGCTGCCAGGACACACCTTGTGTCCTGAGGCTGATAGCTGCCCTTGCATCGGCTCTCAAATGGGCAGGTTCTGTTCCCATTGGAAACACTTGCCTCCTCACAGAACATGGTGGGGATGTCTGCCTGGCTGGGCCTGGGCAGTAAGCTTGTTGAGAGGAGCCTGATGCCAGGATATGCTGTGATGGTTGGGAGTCCTGGGTGTGAAAGCATCTGCCCCTGGAAGTAGCCACTGCTTGCATGACATTCTGGTGCTTAACCCATGGTGGGAACATGCTGAGGTCCACAGCCTTGCCCCTTGGACACACGACCCCAGCCCCCCTTCATCACGACCCAGTGTCCATAAGTTTCAACAGCAGTCCACAGCCCTAAGTGCCTATCATTAACCACTGACACGTGTTTCTGTCACCACACTGATACTGTTCTATTAGAGTAGCAGAGACAGAGAAACCAGGAATACCAGTAATTGTAGAAATCTACTTGAATGCAATCAGCTGCAGCAGCTGTTTGTTGGGAAAGGCTGGTTCTTCAAGGCAGAAAGGAGGCTGCCAGAGAGACCTCTAACTGGAGTCACTGGCAGACTCCCCACCCCTTCGCCAGCCTTAAAGGACATATCCCCTAAGTCACTGCTGCCAAGAGTGCCCTGGTGGGTCCATTGATCTTGCTATACCTGGGTGTGGCCTCTGACCTCTTCTCCCTCTCCTCCTCAGCATCTGCTACTATAGCCGGCTCTTCTGGGAGTGGGGGGATGGCATACGTGTGCACGACTCTCAGAAGCCCCAGGACCCAGACAAGCTGTCCAAGGAGGATGTTCTGTCCTTCATCCAGGCACACAGCGCCTGAAAGCCTTGGGCTGCCCACCCTTGCCACTCCCTCGTTAGGGTGCTCTGTGCCTGGGTCCCCAGTGCTGGCTTTCTTCCTATCGGAATGAAACTGGAGCACACCGTCACTGCAGCCTGGCCATGCGGGGTGGCTTCTTTGTCATCTTCCCTGAAGAGTGTAATCAGGGGCCTCCGGAGGACACTCGCACGTTCTTTCTGGGACATTCTTTGGGTTCCCCTGCCCAGGGACAGGTCTTGGAACCGTTTCCCCTGGCAGGACTCAGCCTGAAGGAAGCTGCCCCTGAAGCGGTTTGAGTTCAGTGCTCTGGGGACGTGGGGCTGGTGGAGAACATGTTGGAGAGTGGCAGGGCTTGGGCTCATCCATTCTCTCCTGTATCCTGTACACTCAGTTTTCTGAGTTCCATGCACTGCCCTTCAGGGTGGCCATGCCTCTGCTTTGCCCAACTTTTTATTGGGCAGACCCTGAGTCGGGAAAGGCCCACTGTTGTGAGCTGGCCAGGACGAGCTACTGTGTAAATCAGGTTTTGTTTCTTTGAACTTCCCCTGTTTTGATGCCAAGTGGGAGATTTTCTTGTCTCCATGCCACATACCCGGTCCTGTCCTTCCGTGGAGTTCTTCCTAGCCTAGATCTCTGACAGTCCCGGCAGGCCGGGAAGGGAGGAGTGTGGGCCTTATATCCCTGACGTCACATCTGAATCCAGATAGCACCTTCTCTGGTACTGGACATGACTGTCTCCTGGCATTGGAGAGCCTTTCTGAGCCCTTTTTGGTCTAAACCATGAGCAGCTCTACAGGGGAGGAAGCACCTTGAAGATTGCCATCTTTTCTCCCTCAGAAACAGTGGCCCCACCAGTAAGAGGGCACTTCTGGGGTTTGGGTCAGTGCCCAGCCCTCTAGCAATCATGGCACCACCACTGGCCATAGCCATCCTAGAGTGTTGGCAGAGTTCCGAGATCCCAAGGCAGCTCTTTGCCACCTTTTTCCCTCCTTTGTTTTCCTTCCCCAGTAGAAGGGACAGTCTGCTTCCCTTTGTCCTTTCGTGGTCACTCCACTTCCTCTATCTTGGCGGAGGAGGAGGGAAGAGGGGCAGTAGCTTTTGGGGGGGTGGGGGAGGGCATCTGTGGTTGTTTTTAATGGGAAATACCTCTCAGAGATGCTCCTGTGGGCTTCCCAAGGGCTCCATGCCAGTGTTAGACTGGTTTCCATGGAGATAGGACACAGAGTCTCCCACGAGGTTGGAATCATTGACTCTACTGTGGGGGGTCCTCCAGCCAGCATCCAATGCCACCCCACCCCCAAGCTGGCAGCAGCACTGCTGAGATGCTGTATTTCCACCCAATTCTGGGTATATCAGTGTGTCTTGCAAAATCTTGGATCATTAAAGATAAACATATTTTTAACGCCTGTGTGGCTCTGTGCTAGGGCTGCCACTGTTTGTTCTAGATGCTTTGTGGTCTGGGACTGGCCTGGATGAAACACCCTGGGCCAAGGGTGAAGGGGAGGGAGCTTCACTCAAAACAGACGGAGAGAAGATTTGTTTAATCAGAGCCTGGTCCATGCTGCTGGGGCTGCAGGGCTGCTGCTTCCTACAAGAGGATGGCCAGGGAGGCATTGGGATGGGAGAATGAAGGACCCATACCCCAGCAGAGCAGGGGGCACCTTCCCCTCCCATGAATCACACAGCTTACTCCACACTGACACCTTGACAGTCCAGGATCAGCCTGTGTGACTGAAATAACAGAGGTGTCAGACCAATTAGTGTCACTAGACCAGGGGAAGGAGGGGGAGGGAGAGATGGGTCTCCTGACCCCTGGCCATGCTAATGGTACCTCCCTTTCTGCTCAGGCTTTTCTCATACTGGTACTGCCCCCCACCCCCAGCCTGCATACACTTGGCTTAGCTCCTTAGCATTGGCCCCTGAGGGACCCTCCTTGACGTTTCACAGCCCTTAGTTCCCTGGGGCAACTCCTTTCCTTATTTAATTGGTTTAATCAGTAGCCCAAGCCCTTGACAGGCTCTGCTGTGCTCCAGCCTCCTGCTCCCCCACCTCCCTGGCCTGGAACAGGGGTGGGTTTGGGGGTATACACAGGGGCAGTGGGTGATGACTGTGTCTGCAGCTCTTGTTCCCCTGCTCTGGCTCTGTCCCACCCTACCACTGCTCCCTGCAAACCTGCCTGATTTACTGGCTACTGTCATCATAAGTCTGTCTGGTCATTACCATGGTTCTTGCTGCCCACTCTTTGTGAGGCCTCACCAGCCTTGCCTGCCTCTCAAAGATGGATGAATTCCGTACTCTCCTGGGACCTCCTCATGACCACTTCATGTCCCCAAGTCTCCCTTCACTGCACAGGCTACATTTTTTTCTGCCGTAATTACAGGCAGTGGCAATGACTGGGGGGCAAGGTAGTGTGCATATGCAGGGTGTGTGTGTATGTATGTGTGGGTGAGTGGTCAGGGGCAGGTGCAGTGTCTGCCTGGTGGCCCCGTTAATATCTAAGCTTTGAAAGTGTCTCCTGGCATAGTTGTGGCTTAGAAAATACTTCCCGCTTCTCCTTATTCGCCATGTAAGTGGAGGCTCATCTTTGCAGCACCCTATATTCTCTTCCTGCTGAGTTCTAAGCCAAGAGCTTTCCCTTAAACATCTCTTCCTCCTTGATTCCCAAATGCTCCCGCCACTGTCCCCAGCTACAGTCAGACCATAACATTTACTCAGCAGACAGGAGCAGCTTGGCACTCTTTATTGCCTCTCCCTTGGGCTTTGGGAGGAGCCAGCATAAGGTCTTTCTGGAGACCCAGGCCCCGTGGCAGGCCAGGGAGGCCAGAGGGGCTGGGCCAGGCCTGGTTCCCAAAGGTTGGGCGACAGGAGACCACACTCAATTGTCTAGGTGGGGAAGTGCTCTTAGCACCTTGGTCCTCTTGAGGCTTAAAGGGTCTGCTTGGTCCTGACAGGAAGCTGAGAGCAGCCTGCACTGGCTGTGGGGAATCCCAGGCTCACATGGTCCAGTAGACATAGATGAGGGTCAGGAGGATGAAGATGGCCACAGAGAGCAGCATGTTCTTCCGGTTCTCTTGCCGAAGCAACTTGAGCTCCTTCTCTGGAAGATAATGAGTGGTGTGATGGAAAAGGTAGCTCGGACCCCTCTGGCTCTCATCTGCCTCTCTCTCCCCTTCTCTTGTCAACAAATGGGTACACACATGCTGAGGGCCTCCTTCCTTATCCATAAAAGTGATCGATCCTCCTTGATCTTCCCGGATGCTCACATCTTTTTGGTTATGGGTTCCAGCCTAATAAAGTCTCAACCATTTCTCTTCAAATGCAGTTTAGATTGAGGATGGGATCTGTGAGGTGTCACCAAAAAGGCTGCACCTGAAAGCCAGGCTAGGAGTGGCACGTGATCACAAGGTGATCCTCTTGCCTCATCACTGTGTGGGCTGTGATGCTTATCCTTCTGGGGTTCTCATCTGTCCAACAAGATTTGAGGGCAGATGCCTCCTTGGGCCTGACAATGGGGCAGGTGCAGGATGGTGCCACACCATTGGTGCTTCGTTACAGAGGTTCCCTGAGCCCCTGCCTCTGCCGGGTGCCTAGCTAAGCCAGGAGCTAGGGGTGCCAAGAGGAGGCAGTTTGTGCCTACAAGGCACTATCTTGACCCTAGAGGAAGTCAGTCCCATTATTTTGCAGCCATGCTTATATCTAATCATCTCCTTCATGTGACACTCAGGCAGCTGATACTTTGTGAAGACTAAATTGAGTAGCGGTTGTGGGTTTGTTAATAAACATTGCTAGGCTTGAGGGAGAACCGATGTCTCAGCCCTACCTGCAGGGATGGAGACCCCTGCAACCAGCCTGGGCAGGCCAGTCTAAGCCTGGAGCCAGGGTGCCCTGGGTCCAGCCATGTAAAATTACAAGGGCTTGTGTATCTATGTGTGTACTCAGTGCTTACAGTGTTGTTTCAGATTGTTCCCTCTGGGAGGTTCCCTGCCATCTGGACTATTCTGGGGCCAATTCTTGGCCAGGCTTGGTTCCTGTCCTCACCCCCACCCCCACCCCCACCCCCACCCCAAGGTAGAATAGAACAGGCAAGTCTGAGGAACCTCCTGCAGACTGTTTTCCTCTCTGGCATCTGAGGCCTAAGGCCAGGGGCTGCAGGTGACCAGCAGCCACCCCCGCCCCTCTAGCTCCATTGCCTGGGCTCTACCTGGCTCTGCTCCCAATGCCCAGAAGGTGGCAGCATTGCTTCACCCACAGGAGTCCTGCTGCTGCCCTAGCAGGAAGCCCCACTCCCTTCACTCCCTCAGGTTGCAGGGTTTTCAAGGGGCGGGAGTCTGTGTGGGTGTAAGTCTCTGGACCTGGCTGCTAAAGGGGAGAAGAGGTTCCCAGACAAGCCATCTCTCTTCCTTCCCTTGAACAAACCCACTGTCTTCCCAGGCTGGGGATGCCTCCAAGGCTGCTGCTGCTGGGCCTACAATGGATTCCTACAGCCTCCTGGAGGCCAGCTCCCTGCCACCTTGCCAGACTCCCTGGGCTGACTGAACCCCTCCCAACTCTGGGGACTAGAGGTTGGGAGTGGTAACTTCAAAGAAATTTCTTACCATAGTTGGAGGCTTTGCTCATCAGACTCTTCTTCTCCTTCTCCAGAGACCTCCTGTAAGGGAGGAGAGCGTTTTATGGCTCAAGCCCCATTCTTCCCACCTGAAGGGCAGCCAGCACACCAAGACAGGTATATGGAGCTGGCTAGACAAGGAGGACAGGGGCTTAGGTCTCCACAGCCGACAGGAGAGTAGGCAGGTGGAAATTTGCTTTGGAGATAATAAAGCACACCAGTGTATGGGTGCCCCATAATCGGGGGGCAGGTGAACACCAAGGCCCAAGCCAGTGAATGCCCCAGGGTTCTGCTGAGAAGAGGCAGAATAAAATCTGGGGCAGGGTAGGAGAGAGGCTTGTAAGGATGGAAGCTCCTCAGCGAGGGCCCCAGACCCCCAGCCTCAGGCTTAGGCTTTGAGGACCCAGCATAGATGTGGGAGGCAAGGGAAGGTGAGGGGGCGGGGCAGGAGTACTACCTGGCTTCTGGGCTCAGCTCCACCCCATAGAGCCTGTCGCTTACAGTCTCCAGTTCCCTCCGACATCGTGACAGCTTCTCCTCCAGCCCGTCGATCTGAAACAGTACACGATCTGAAACAGTACACTGCAAAGCCAATAGTGTTTCTGGTTCTAAAACCCTGGGTTGGAGGAGGGAGCATCTCAGAGTCTTAGGACAGGTCCCTCCTCCCAAGGCCCACACTAATCTTCTTGGCAAGGCGCCTCAGCATCCTTCCCCAGAGCATCTGTTTTGTTTTTTTTTTTAATTTTATTTTGATTTGGGTGAAGATTTACAGAGTAAATTCACTTTTCATACAGCAGTTCACATATACTTTGTCTCATGTCATTGACCAAAATTTACAATGCAACAGCTCCCCTCCCACTTCCTCCCCATAGTTACCTCTTCCCAGTGTCCATCCCTCCATACTCTTCTGCACCCTGAGCTGTCTCCCTGTGCATAAGCAGCCCTTCCTTCTCCCATGATTGTTCTCTCCAGGGTGTGTGTCTACTTGAGGTAAATGTTTAACTCACTTGCCTGTTCTTTGTGTGGCTGGAAACCACAGGTGTGGGTTCAATCCCAGACCTGAAGGGCAGCTAGGGGCCATAGTCTCAGTCAGAGCATCTGTTTTGCTGTCCTTCACCACCCTCCACACCGTGGTTCAGCTCTGGGCTCCACAAGGTCTCACAACTGCTCTGATCCTCTAGGCCACATGTGGTTGGGGGTGGGCAGGGACCAGCCCCTCAGTCAGCTCTGACTCCCCAGCACGATGTCCCAGGGGGGCCTCAACAGAAGTAACCAGAGCTCTGGGCACAGCACACACTTGCCCCCAGGGACACTGTGGCTCCCAGGCACATACCCAAGGGGCAGAGGATTAGAAATCTAGGGGCCAGAAAGCATAGGTATTGACATGTTTCATCTTAATATTTTTCTCATGAGAATCCATAAAAATTACTGAGTGGGAAAAAAATGCAACTCATAAACACTTCTGCTTCTTTTTGATTTGGTTCTTGTGCAAAAATACTGCCCATGAGGGAGGCAGAAGTAACTCGTGGGGCAAACCACCTACACTCCTGAAATGACGGTTGCCAAAAGTACAGTCCTTCCATTTATTTTGAATATAATTTCCGATGTGTTCTTAGGAAGTAATCCAAGTTGTGCAGAAATTTTTTAGAAGGTACTGGGTTAGGTTGTCCAAGCCTAGTTCTGCCATCAAGTGTTTGGGTATGAAAACCTCTCTCTCCATGACCGTGTGTCTGTCTGACTCAGTCACCAGGTATCTATCTAATTGGCCATCTCTCTGGGCCTGCTCCTAGTCCACCTCTGCCCTGCTGGTGGGAGCCCAGGGTAGGTGGAGGAAGGCTCAGAGGGGCCTCTGTCCCTCAGTAGCTGACTAAATTGTACTTTGGGGTTTCTGTAATGCCTGCTTTCCATTTCTGACTTCACTACTCCACCATAATCCTGGGGGGAAAAAAAATAAACTCACTGCCATCGAGTTGGATCTGACTCATAGCAACCCCTCCTCGGGTTTTCGAGGCAGTGTCACTATGGAAGTAGATTGCCCAACCTTCCTTCCGAGGAGTGGCTGGTGGGTTTGAACCGCTAGCCTTCTGGTTAGCAATCAGATGCCTTAGGCACTATGCCACCAGAGCTCTTGCATTCCTGGGAGGGATAGGAAATATTTCCTCCATAGGAAAACAGGATCCCCAAATAGAATGGCCAGCACCTCAGTCAAAGAGAAGCCCCCTCTCTTTATCTGCCTCATTTCTGGAGTGTCCCCTGCAGAGAAGGTAATCAATGGCTGCAGTGACTCTGGGAAGGCAGGGAGGGGTGCAGTCAGAGCCCTGGGCTAGCTGCGGTCTAAGTCTCTGGTGTTTCTTAACTGCCTGCTGTCCCTCTCCCCAGCCAGCGCCCACCCAGACCACTTCTGGATCAGCCACCACCTCTTCCCTGGGCCCAGCCCAGCTGACACCTCATCTACCCTGTTCTTGCAGCCTCAGTCCTCTGCCAACTCCAGCTCCTCAAGGGGGGCCCTGTGGGAGGGAGCAACAGCAGAGCCTTGAGTTAACTGCCTGGTTAATTGTGTCATTTCTCTGCTAATGGGCACCAAAGGGAGGGCCATCCTGGGAAACAGCCCCTGTCAGGAGATGGGGGCTGTGCCTGGGGAGGCACTGCAGGACAATGAACATGGACAGCCAGGTTCCGGGAAGAGGAACACTCTGATGTGATGGTTAGTGGAGCTGGGAGGAGCAGGAGCTTCAGGACTACACAGCATTCCCCAACACAGCCCAGCCCTGCAGAACTCTGACACTTGCTATTTCCAGGATGTCAAAACAGCAATCAGGGCACCACATCCCACACTGAGTCCCAAACAAAGCTGAACGTGAAACTCTCTCTACCTCTGTCATGAGGCCTTTAGTGCTGCCCTTGACTGGAAGGGTACCACCCTCCATCCCAACGCATTCATCTGTCCTCATCTCATCAGACTGAGCCGACATACTCACTTGTGTTTTCCTCACTTGTGTGTGTCCAAACCTTATCTTTCCCCAAAGTCCAGGAGCCCCTAGGACAGATGACATAAACTGGCAACCTACAGGTCATGTCTAGTCCACAGGTTGGCCCCACTCCGCATGTGACCTGCCTGGCCCTGAGGATGCCTCAGATTGTAGCTCCTATCCTAGAGGGTGAGGTAGCCATCTGTCTTCTCTTTGTGTCCACCACTTTGGGCCCACAGCAATCTTTGTAGCTGTAGAGGAATGAGTGGGGCCAAGGGACTGAAGACCAAGGGCTTCTACCTAGCTCATTCCAGTTTGACCCCCTGCTGAGAATTTGCCTGTCCAACACCTCAGACACATTGAATCAGAGTCTACATTGTCAACAAGATCCCCAGGTGATGCTTAATGTATATGTGGTTAAGATGTAGAATCTGATTCAGTACATCTGGGGTAGAAATGCAAATTCTCAGCAGGAGGTCAAACTGGAATGCATTGGTTCAAAGCCCTGCTAGGGACAGATGGTTTAGGTCTCCTGTACCATCTGCAGTCTGAAATCCTTCCTTCATGCCCATAGAAACTAGAAGCAACTATACATGCACATAGATTGTACACTTTTCAGATAACCCATTACAAATCTTTGTCCTAGGTTAGCTTTTTCCCTGTTAACTCCTTGGGCCAGCTGTTCCTTTGCATGTCTTTCTAGGGAGAGAGTAGCTTGGAGGTTTTCATCCCTAAACACCTCTGGAAGGCTACCAGGTGCCCAAACAAGTGGTATTAGCCCACAGCGAAGCTAGGAACTCATGCTAAGCATAATCTTAAAATTGATGTTGGCAAACCACAAGTGGCCAAGCCAATCTGCCATCATGCTCTGGGCAAGGCCTATGGAGCAGGCAGCTGGAGGCCTTTATATGAACAAGACCAATTTAACCTCAGGTCCACTGAATATCCCCACTTACTTTTACCACTTTTTAATGAGGCTTAAGCAGGCGAACACAAATCAAGGTCTTAGGGATTCAAGTTCTAACCTCCCTCTATGAATATTTATGACCTGCTGACAGCTCTCTCTGATTCTCTTCTAAATAGCAAGTTCCCCTTATTTATCACCCAGCTGCTTGATGTGGTCCACACTAGGGGAGGCTTAGAGTGGCAGAAAACTCTTGTACAGAACACAAACCCACCCTCTGGGTGACCCACTGGGTCCCCAGCTCAGCCTGGTTCTGGGAGCTGGCAATCATATACCCTGCAGTGCTTGCTTAAGCAGAAGCTGGCTCTGGGGCAGCTGTAATAATGGGTGCAAAGACTCTGGGTGACCTCCTGGCTGCAGAGAATGCAGGCAGGGAGGGAGGGGAAGGACGGCTGCATCTTTTAGTTGTGACTGGGGTCGGCAGTGGTACCTGCAGAGTGGAGCTGGCCTAGCATACAGGTCCAGCAAGGTGAGAAAGAGGGCCTCCAAGGAGGTCTCCAGTTGGATTTCCTGTCAACTCTGAACCGCATGCACTGAGATTATGTATTTTGCAGATTAGCTAATGCAATCTGTAGTCTTCAGCTTGCAACCTGCCACCAGCTGGAAGGACCAGAGCAAGAAGACAGGTCAGGATGATCCTAGAAGTGCAAGGGTCAGAGCCACCACCACCACACCACCACCACCACCACCACCACCACCACCACCACTGCAGGATCATAAGGTTCCCAGCATGCTGTGTGCCTGAGCCAGCTAGACTGTCTGGCCCACAGAAGCACTGCTGTTCTGTTGGTCTACCTGGGGGCCCCTCACTGCTGAACCCCAGCATAGCCTTAGAGGACTGGCCCTAAACTGAGCCAGAGGGACTCCCTTTCCCAGTGCTGCCAGTCAGTAACCAATGGAGAGTCTGCTCTACCTTACACCCCCACATCTCTCTCTTACTCTTGCTACAGATTAACTTGTTTTCCTTTTTATTCCCCCAAAGTTCCAGTGAAAACCACTGTCTGACAGTAATGATACCAAAAACTTTTATTGAGCTCTTACTGTGTTGGGCACTACTGTAAGCACCTTTCGTGTTTTGCCTTGTATTATCCTCAGAACAACTCTTTGAGACATGAAACATCATTATCTTTGTTTTACACCTGAGGAAAGAGAGGCACAGAATTAAGTGACAAAGTGAGTGGCAGAGAAGAGGCGCCTGTTTAGTGCCCATGCACTCTTCACTACCACATGGAGCCATGATTCCAGGCTTCCAGCCCTTCAGGCTAAAAGTACCTCTGGGGCTGCAGGGTAGAAGCCAAGGCAGGAGGGAAGAAAAGGGAGGAAAAAAAGAGGCACATAAGGTGGAAGGAACATCCTTCTTAAGTGGAAGGGAGCGGTAGGTCCACAGGAAGCTGGCGTCCAGTAAGTGCATTTCAACAACAAAAAGTCCACAAGTGATTCTGGTGCCAAGCAGGATGAGACCCACTGCCTTTCATTATCCAAGTGAAACTGGGCACTTGAGGCCTAGAAGGAAGGTATAGTGGGTAGAGGAGGCTCAGTGAAGAGATGAAGTATGGGACCAAAGGATCCCCACAGAGGTGGGGGTGCTTCCTGCAGAAGAACCGAAAGACCCAAGTCAG